GGGAGATTATATGGTCACAGTAAGGGATTCTCAAATTACTTTTGCTATTTAGTAAGTGCATGCTTTCTGAATAAACATTGCAAGGGTACACTGCATATACCATGCTCAATAGACAATGCTAGAAAATGAAGCGCAGGCCAGTGGTTAAATAGTCAAATAATCCAAGCCCCCAGATTAAAAAAAAAAAAAAAAAAAAAAAAAAAAAAAGATCAACTAACAGAGGAGCTAAGAAATGGCTTCTTGCTAAAGTGATTGCTTCACAACTGTGAAGTTCAGAGTTTGGGTCCCTAGAATTCACATAAAAACCTAGATGTAGTGAGGTGTGTCCCTAACCCTCTGTTCATTGTCCAGGCAGCTTAGATAGATCAATGAACTACATATTTGGGGTAAGGTGGAGAAGAGGAATAAGGAGGAGGAGAAAAGAAGGAGGAGAGAAGGGGAGGAAAGGAGGGAGGGAGAGAGAGAGAGAGAGAGAGAGAGAGAGAGAGAGAGAGAGAGAGAGAGAGAGAGAGAGAGAGACTGTCTCAAAAAACAAGGTGGGAGGAAAAAAGCATGGACCCATAGGCAATAGGAGTGACATAAGAGGGGGTAATAGGAGAGAAAATAGAAACAAATCTATTAATGCATGCATGAAATTATAAAACAAAGAATTAAGGAGGACAGTGATTGAGAGAGATAATATCAGCCTCTGGGTTCACACAAAATATTTGAGGCAGGTAAAGCATTGCAGGTGTAATGAGGAAAGGATGAGGACAAATGAGGAGGCTCCACAAACACTCAACAGTGTTCCATAGTGAGCAGGCTTAAGTGACAGGTGTTATTGCACAGCAGCCACCACAGTAGACATCAAACACCAAGAGACTAAAATTGTTAAAATGGTGCCCCAGGGGAATAAGGACAGCTCAGAGACCGAGCAGGCAGTGTTACAAGATGGCAGGCTGGCTTGGATGTCCTTGGAGTTGGTATCATCTGCCAGGTGGTGGGATTAGCTTATATTTTCTTTGCAACCAGGTTGAGTTGGTTTATGGAGGACAATTAGTCTCAGCAAGAAATCAGAATTAGCAGTCCTGTGCTTGGGACAGCCCACACTGGTGTACCAGATTTGTGCTCATCTCTTCCCAGCTGCATGCCCTGTGGTAAACCCAAAATAAGCCACAGTGGGATTATTTACACCATGGAAATTGGCAAATACCATCACCAGGCTTTTTTTTTTTTTTTCCTTCTTCTTCTTCTTCTTTCCAAGAGTGGGTTGCTAAATATTTGCAAGCTTACCACTGGCTTTATGCCATAAATGCTTTAAAAAAAAAAAGTGGAATTAATTTGTTTATTCAAAACCAGTCTCTGGCAGAGGGCGAGGAAAGACTGGAGTGTGGGGAGGGTCGAAATCTAAAGATAGGAGAAGTAGGAGGCTTCTGCAGGGATCTAAGCAGGGATTGACAGGCTGAGCCAGCAAGGTAGAATGTTTAAAGTGAACATTGACTTAAAGTACAGCCATTCCCTTCTCAGTATGCTGTTTCTGCATTAAGGTACCAGCAAATTTCATCTCAAGTTATCTCAATAGTTAAATATTAGCACGAAATCCCCCACAGTGTTGCTTGTTACTAATGATTTGTAGGCAGAGGTTAGAAAGAGAAAAAGTCATCTGGACATATACAAAAATCCAGGACACAAAAATGCATCCCTGGACCATTGAACAGGAGGCTATATTTGTGAGGCTGCTGGGAAAAGGCACCCTTGTTTGCATAGATGGCATTTATTACAGCCCCATTGAACAGGAGGCTATATTTGTGAGGCTGCTGGGAAAAGGCACCCTTGTTTGCATAGATGGCATTTATTACAGCCCCATTCTGAGCTCACTTTCACTACCCCATTGAGGTACTTCTGTGTCCCAGGGAAGGCTATGAGGGATTTGTTAACGTACACATAGTCTAGACTGAGCCAAACTGCAACTTCAGGAGGAAATCTCTCCTAACTTACTCATCTCCAGCCATTACTTTGTTTTTTATGGTGTCTTGTCACCTACACATTCTGTTCCTCCACTGTATTTGTTTCTGTAGTTTGATGTCTGCCTCTAGAATTCTTGTCAGGCCATTTTCTGTATGCCTCGGCTCCCTTGGGGATGCTTGGCAGATCTAGTCCCTCTGCTCAAGAGGAAGGGCACCTTGGCATGGGCTAAACTCTGTCATTCAGACACCTTGCAATCTTAATTTTGGGGTCAGAAGTGTGCGTTCATGTGTGCACGCTTGTGCACATGCACATGTGTGTGCGTGCGTGTACACATGCTGGTGTGACTCTGCTTGCACACTTGTGTGTGGGTGCTCACTTGTACATGTATAGAGGCCTGAGGTTAGCTTTGGTGTCTTCCTTTGTCACCCCTCCCATTACTTTTTGAGAGAAGTTCTCCAGTGAACCTGCAGCTGGCAGTTTGGCTGGAATTTCTGGCTAGTGACTGCCCCACCTCCCTGCTGGGATCTCCCTGTCTCCATCACACTCCTGGTGCTGGGGTGGGGACCTGAATTCAGATTCTGATGCTTTCACAGTGAGCACTCTATCTTCCTAGCTCCTATCTGCAGCCCTGGACCATTAATTCAGCCTCTATGAAGGGTAGTTGGTAGAGAGGTCTCTGATCAATAATGTCTAAGTGTATGAAACAACCACAGTTCTTCTGACTCCATTACCAGGACGTGGAGCAGACCTTTGTGGGTGGCAAGTGATCAAGATACAATTTGTTTTGGGATTATACAGATGGCTTCGTGGCTAAAAGGTCTTTCTGTACTTGTGGAGGACCTGGCCTTGGTTACCAGCACCTGCACCAGCTGTAACTCCAGCTCCAAGATATCTTATACCCTCACCTGACCTTACACACACCAGTAAAACTAAAATAAAATAAATGACTTGTCTAATGAAGGACACAATCACGTATTTCTCTGGGGGCTAAAGAACCTTGAAATTGCTGCATTTCACCGAACTAAATAATTGTAAGTACTGAACTCTTCACAGCAGCTTTATGTACTGGAGGAGAGGTCAATGATGCCCAAAGAAGTAAATGTTAAAGGCTGTAGGGTGATTGAGGCTTCTAGCTGTGGCCTTGGGGAATTGAGTGATATAAGCTATTTCCACTGGGACTGTTTTTCTGTGGGTCTGCTTCTGCACTGTCTGTTTTTCTGCCTTCCATCCTACCTGTTCTCCTCAGGATGAACTAGAAAGGACAAAACTTTTAGGTTACAACATGAAAAGAAGCTCTTGCAAGCAAATATGGCCTTTATGGATTTTAACTAGAAACATTAATCATTTCCAATGTCAAATGTAAAACAGAGCTTTGTTTAAAACCAAGGAAATTTTTATTCTCACAGGTTGAAAGAAAAACAAACACTTTCTTCCGTTTTCCTTTAGGCCCCATAAGAAGCTTAGGACTCCTGGGGTGGGAAGCCAGAAGCCCCTGTCCTCACAGGAGACTTAACTGTCATGAGTAGAAAACTGGTTCTTTGGCTGTGAAACTGTATTGTTTTCATCTATAAAGCCCAGATAGAGATGTAGACCATACACAATCTGTTTATGCACTTTCTAGCTTGAGCCCACCAAAATCACACTAGGACAAGCAGGAGACAGGACCCTTCTCCATTCTGAAAATACCAAAGCTTCAGTGTTCTGTAGAAGATCATCCTGGAGAAGGGGAAGGGCATGGGTCAAGCCTGGAGGGATCAGATTTTGTTACTTCCAAAAACTAATTACAGACTCAGCTATCCAAATGAACTTTGCAGAACAATGTTCTTCTATGACATGGGGCACAAAGGTGACTTAGCCCCATCACAACTACGACATTCCATTTCCTTCCTGCCCATAAGGGCACTTAGTAGGAAAAGCATGGCATGTCCAGGCTTGCGATCAGGAGGGAGAGGCATCCAAAATAATTGCCTGGCTGGAAAGATTGCCCTAAGTGGGGTAAGAGGAGGGTCGGGTCTATGCCCAGGCATCAACAGCACAGTATACCCCCATATACTGCATGGTTTTAGTTATATCAGCTGAAGTCTGAAAAAATTAAATGGATAATTCCAGAAATTAGTAAATTATGTTTTAAATGATGCTTATTTTATGATCCCGTTATATTCTATATTATCATTAGTTCCTGTTGTTACTCTCTCACTGCTAATTTATAATTTAAATGTCACCATGGTTATAAGTATAGAGAAAACCACTCTATGAATAGGGTTTGATGTTATTTATGGCTTGGAACTATTCATTATCTCAGGCATCCAGTGAGGGTCTTGGAGCATACCCCATATGGGAAAAGGGTACAATTACAACAGTCTTGAAGAGGCATGGGAATACTCTCCTGGTTTGTCTAAGTTCCCGTTTTCTGTTATGCTTCAGCTGTCTGAGATTGGATAGGCCCTGGGGACTCTGTGGTTCCATGACCCACGGCTAAGATCTTGGCAGAGAAGTCCCTTTACCATTTTTGAAAGATTCCTCTCTGGTGACACCATTGATGCCAACATCTGCCCCAATACAGGGATGTGTAGCAGTGGAGATAGAATGGGATGCAATGGGATGGGTGAAGGGCCAGGGCATAGGATTGGGTCTTTGCTCTCCACTGGCTCATTGTAACCTTGGGGCAAGCCAATGGTCTCCCATCATTTAGATGTTCCCATTTTTTAATGCGAACATCAGCCTCATTTTTCTTGCTAGATTCTGTAATGATAAAGGGAAAGCATGCTCTGGCCATAGTCCAATAATAGCCTTTCCTAAAACCATAGACGAAAACTATGAAGGTGTGAAATTACTCTTATAAAGTGCAGTTCCTATTTATTTTCCACTTTTAAATATTGCAAGCACTTTTAATCAACATGGCACTTGGAGCAAAGGCCAGAACTTCTGCCAAACTTAAAAACCACTAAAGGGATTGGCCCTTGGATCCCACTCACCTTTCCTCATGGGCAGGTGCTCTAGTAATAAGCAATGTGAAACAGTCACACACAGACATCTGCAATGTAATTACTTACCAGCTGCTGCTCTAGGGGTGGGACTGCATCATGATGGCCGTAGATTATGCCAGGGTTATACTGACTGAAAAGGACCGGATAAAATACCTTCTTGCCTGCAAATCAGAAGGCAAATGTCTGCTTAAGATGGACTCATTCTGTTGGGCTTGTACACAGGCAGTCAGCCAGTGGAAATAGTCCATGTGTTTTCACCCACTCCTTTTTTTTCCTTTACTCAACTCTATACTGGCTCATAGAAATACTGCACCAGCTAGACCAGTCAGTCTGATTCTCGAAACTTCCTGTCCTCCTAAGGATGAGAACAATATGCAAGTTGTTGACAGTCAGTGGCAGTCTCCAAAGTGATGAGTATGGATGAGATTTCTGGTGTCCCTGTTCTGCATGTGCAAAAGCCATTAAACATTGGTTTCTAGCATAACCTTAAAGATTAGTGAAGGTCTGGAAGACACTGGGCAGCATAGGGCTCAGAGCAGCTACCCTCTACATGAAAGAATTGCCATGTTTTAACAGCAAATGATCATACTTAGACTATCAGCTATCTATCACATCTGTATTTGTTTTTTGTTTTGTTTTTCTTTTGCCATAGCCTCTGAGAGGCTTTTCCAGGCCCATGTCCTCTGGCCCACTGTCTCCTGGAGATGTCCCACTCATCTGATCTCCCAGTGGGAGACAGAAAGGGATTATGAACAGGGACATAAGGCCGAGTCCCAGGATTAATGTGCCTGAATTGAACAAGGTCACCTTCCTTGTCTTTGTGACCAGAAGAAAGTGAGTCTGATTCCTCAGCAGGACACTAGAGTGGACTTTGCACACAACAATTGAGAGAAAGAGAGCCGAGTGCCTGAAAGAGGTAAGAAAGAGACAATGCAAACCTGGCTGTGTGTTCAGCCTACATGTGTTGAGGAACTCAGAGGTGAAGTAGATGTCCACATCACAGAAAAAGAGCAGGACATTGCTTCCCTTCCAGAAGCGGGCTCCAACATCCAGTCCCTTTCCGCGTGAAAATTCTCCATTCAGCTGGATGAAGGTGAAGTTCCTGAAGTTGGCAGCTCTAGAAGATATGGGAAGCAGAAGGTCAGGGATCACCACTCAGCACCACACTGCCCAGGAGGACATAATCCCCTGAGAAATGCACAGCTGGGGTCTATCCCCTCTGCATTCTGTAACCCCCAGGCAAGGACAGAATAGACACCACTGGGTCCAAGGGACAAGAGAACACCTAGAAAACTTTTGTTGTTGCTGGTTTTGTGACAGGGTGTTGCTGCCTAGCCTGGGTTGACCTTGATTTCATGATTGTTCTACCTTAGCTGACAGGTATATGCTACCATACCTAGTTTCTATTGAACCTAATTAAAAATCTAATTATGTGTATTGTGTGCCAGAAGAGGGTATCTGATCCCCTGGAGCTGGAGCTACAGGTAAGTCACCCAACATGTGTGTTGGGGAAAAAAAAGTGTCTCTATAAGAATAGAATAGTATATGTACTCTTAACAAGTTAGCTAGCTATCTCTCCTGCCACCAAATGAACTTGTGATATGAATTTATTTCTTCTTTTTCTGCTAATTCTTCTATATTGAGACAGCTATTGTTATCATTAATGCACATTGTTTATGATGGAATTTGGAATTAGTTAAATAGAAACCACAACTTGAAGCCATCACCATGCTGTCTAGGTCACTCAGATAAACCTAGTTCATAAAACTCGGTCACTGCTGTAGAGTATGGCTTCCCAGCATTTTATCTATTTCAAGTCCAGGAGATAGGCAGAATGTTCTTGATGTGCGTTGTCCCAGACAGACTGAATCCTTCCTCCCTTCCTTTCTTCCTTCATTCCTTCCTTCCTTCCTTCGTTCCTTCCTTTCTTCCTTCCTTCCCAGCATAGGAAGAACAGCATTGCACAGTAAGAAAGAGGACTGACTATCTTGCAGTTGGAAGGCAATGATGCATCAGACTTGGCTGCACTGTTGACTAGCTTTGTGAGGAGGACAAGCTTGTTCTTTAATTGCTTCATTTACATAAAGGGAATAGTAACAGCCTCCTTAGCTTCTTAAAGTGACCATATATGTGGTGGGAAGGGGATCTGGCACCATCAGCGCCAGCTCCTGCCATCACCAGCACAGGAAGGACTCCTTAGCCCAGGCTGCTGAAGTCAAGGAGACTATAGTTTGCTGAACTTCTCCAGAAATAGCAGCACCTTCTGAAATCGGACTCTTCTGGGCAAAACGTAACTCATTTGGTGCAAATGGTCCTGGACAGCCTTCCATCAGGTAGAATGAAAGGCCTCATTCAGCCCTGTTTCAGCATCTGTGTGCCCAGGGGCTGGCATCTGGCAAGTCTCCTTCTTGTTGATCCCATCTGTCTTTGATCATGGCTTGCTCTACCCTCACTCCCTGCCCTTCCTACCTTGACCAAGCCCCACCACTCCCCAACTCTCCCTGTGTTGATATATTCAACAGATACAGGAAGAAAACTATTTCTATTATTAATAGTTTATATTCCTTGCAACTCTCTTGGCTGAAGGTCAACACAAATTACCAAAGTCCTAAGCTGTTGGCATGCTAAGTGCTGCTGCTATCTGGGGATTTAATCACAGAAACCTGTTTGGCTACTCTTCTGTGACATTCTATCTTCTTCCAGATCTGGGAGAAAGCTTGGTGTTTTATCTCAGGAATCTATGGGCACAGCCTAGCTTCACTCTGACACCAGACTGAGATCTGAATGGAAGACATCAGTATGTGAAAAGCCCTGCTCTATGAGTCAGCAGACCCAGATCCAGGGCCAACAAACATGCCTGGTTCCTACCAGGTACACACTGGATGTCTCTGAATATTTGTGAATATAGATTTATGAATAGAAGTTAGAGTGGTTCTAGTCCTCGCTGTGCTTCTGATTTATTTGGAGTCAGTTCTCTTGCTTCTGATGCCTTTCTCCAAAGCCCTGTTCATAGAGTTCAAGGGCCCTTTAGCTTGGACATCCCCCTGGACTGTGAGTCTCCATTTACTCCAGGACTTTGGTTCCTGTCCACCTTCCAAGCATTATCTTTGGTCCTTTGCTCTAGCCCACGGATTCTACAATTAGCATTGATGCCGTGTTTCAATCCTTTTCACAATCACACCTGGCCCTGGCTGAGGACAGTGCAGCTCTTTGTCTGTGCAGATACACAAGCACTGTGAGGACCTGGCAGGCAGCCTCCAGCTTCTAGAGATTTCTACAGCTCCAGCTGTTCTAAGTCAGCACAGCCCATGCCCTTCTGCCCAAGGGAAACTACCTGAGGGGGAGGCCTGGATTTCATCTGCTCATCTAATGGGCTTTCCAGCCAGTTCTCCCAGATGCTTCATTCAGGGTTTGTCTTGTTCAATTGCTCTAGTTATTATACCTTCTGAACCCACCTCCTGGACCACAGGTGTATTTGTTATCTGGTTTGCAGAGTAGGAAGGTTACCATTTCAAAGTATAGTACTCACTGAGGTTGTATCTAACTGTTAATTTCGAAAGTAACTCTCCTATGAGAATTTCCAAAATCTATCATGAAAGAAATAAAGGCTTATTTATTTATTTTTATCTGTTTGTTTATTAGCTTTAATGAGATAGGACCAGGCTAGGTTCAAACTGAGAATCTGCCTGTCTTCAAAGTTTGGGGGTTATAGGACTGCATCACAACATTTGGCTTAAACATGACTTCCACATGCATGACAGCAAGCAACATTTCCTTAGGCAATAGGTACACTTTCTTTAAGGTTACATTTGGAGATCAATGACAGCGCTACCTCTGCCTGGGACAGCCTGCAGTCCACTTACAAAGGTCACCTCCAGCTCACCTCCAGCAGAATAGAAGGTGCATGGCAGGAACGCCTAAGCTACTAGTGTGGAAGATAAAAAAAAAAATACAGGAAATATAATGGCAAACAAATAGCAAGGAGACAGCAAAGAATGGATGCTACGGAGTATAAAAGGAGACCTCCAGAAGTCAGCTCACCTCCAGCAGAATAGAAGGTGCATGGCAGGAATGCCTAAGCTACTAGTGTGGAAGATAAAAAAAAAAAAAAAATACAGGAAATATAATGGCAAACAAATAGCAAGGAGACAGCAAAGAATGGATGCTATGGAGTATAAAAGGAGACCAAAAATCTGACCCATCTGACTGCCCAACACGCAATTAAATCTACCTTGAGAACATCCTGGCTCAAGCTGGTTTCTCTAATAAACACCATCATCATCTGCTCCACAGCCAAAGAAGGGGAGGGACCCAGCCTTGCATGACAGTTTTTGGAAAGAGAGGAGGGACATTCATGGTAGTGGTACCTGAGATGACCTTAATTTGAAAGACCTTTAGAAAAAGTATTTGACCATCAAACTGTATGCACAAATGTGTTGCTCCGAAAGAAAGATTATTCTGGGAACTATTCCTGAGAAACCCTTTGTCTGCCCTCATGTAGTGGCAATTTGCCTTTCTCTTTTCATCTAGGCTTCCTAGGGAGATAAGGTATTCCCTGCTACTTCCAGAGCATTTTCCCCTAAGGTTGCAGCATTCAAGCTGTGAAAGGTGATGGCCCCAGGAGGGCATCTCCTCTGGGCATGCATTGTTGACCCAAAAAGACACTACTGGGGAAGAACACATGAAGCTCCAGAAGCCTGTGGTCATGCCTCACAACACTCTGTCCTCTGCAATCCTTCTGCCTCCTTCATTTACCTTGGGCATGGTAACCAGGGGCAAGTTTCTTCTGGTACCTCTAAAGTCCTAACAGCTCACCAGGCTCTGATTGGTGGGTCACTTATGCACAAAGAGAACAGGGTATGGCCAGAGTCATCATCAATGGCCTGGGAAGAACAGTACTACCTCTGTTATGAATCTATGACAAGGTTCCCCCTTGGTTGCCAGGATAGCAAAGCATCAAAGACCACTGTGGAATGATAGCACAATTTCTCCACCTGGGTTCTGGGAAAACCCTATGGCCCTGAGTACAGACTATTGAGGCAACATGCAGGCACCCTGTCTATTCTGCTGACTACTGGCCCAACTCTGGTGACAAGCCATAGATGTTCATGATAGATGAATCAAAAGGGGTGCATATTAACTGGAACCTCTTCTGTCTCCTTGGTGATCTTTTCCTATTACACACTATCTTCAACTATTTCTGTGAAAAGGGCTATCATTCTTCAAACATCACACCTTGAATATCACCCTTAGATTGCCACCTGGCAAACTAAGGAACTCTTTCTGAGCATTTTATCGAGTTTTGCCCCTGTCCCTTTTGTGTCTTGACAACCTATTGTATCAAATGTACCAGTGCACAAGAGACTTTTACATGTGTGAATTTTCTAAGGCAGCAGCTCCACACAAGCCCCTTCAGAAATGATGCAGTACTGTGTAGGTAGTAAGAGGTACACATGGGGACAAAGGGGAGATTAAAAACACTTGACACAGCTAGAGATGAATAACAGAAGTGACCAAAGCTCTTCAGGTACTTCCCGAAGAACTTGCTATCTGGAGAGAGTGTCTCCCACAAGGAGAGTGCAGCCCTCTGCAGCAGTAACAATGAAGCCCTTGCTGTTATCACTTACACTTTGTTTAAGCCCATTTCCCACATCTGAAAGAGGCTGGCACCAGTGGATTTGGAAGGACAAATCTAAACCTTAGCATTTATGATGAGGTACATGCAGAGTAACAGAAAACAGAGCTGAGAAAAGTAGCATGTACCTTATTTTGAAATATTTAATACTTTTACAATGAAAAGCCATATTTGGTGACATGCCTATAGCTGTGGCATAACAAGAAACAGGCACTGATGATGGTAGACTGGGGGCTTCCCATCTCACTATTACGTGAATTCCTATTATGGACACACAAAAGGATGCATGATTTATTCCTAATTACTTCTTGAATTATATTAATAATTATCAAAAGTCTTGAATTCCGCACTCAGTCTCTTTCTTTGATATGATAAATCTGCTGCATGGGGACCTCTCAGTTACAAGTAGTCATTTTGTGGAGGTTATGATGACCTGAGATAGCTATTGCTTCTGCTGTGTTTAGTTCCCCTAATTGCCTTGC